TTAAAAAGAAGAATGAGGACAGAGCCCGCTTAACAGGACTGTTGTGAGCTTTATGTGAGCTAATGTATGGTGCAGGCTCAGCAAGGGGTGTGGCACTGCTGCTCCGCCAGTCTGAGGTCATGATAGACAGGAGTAAAGGGCATTCCCTATAACACAGTGCACTGATCACTTAGAATAGTGTCAACCATCATTGCTATCCGGAGCATTCAGCATAGGGCCCAGCATATGTACTCAGTAAATGTCAATTATCAACATTTTTGAAATTTAACTTCTCGTTATTTTTTATTTAACTGCTATTATTACAAAGTGTATAGCATGAGGTCTGGCATAGGCAATTTATTAATATTAGTTACAACATCAACAATAAGAATAGAATAGTAAGAATGCTTAGTGCCTGGTGCATACTAAGCCCTTAATATGTTGTAATTACTGTCCACACTGTTGTTTGCAACAGTTATTTCCTGAGCGTTACTGGGCACCCAGTACTAGCATGCTCCTCTCTTCATCTGGCCTGGGATCCTCATGGCAATCGACTTCAGGACAATCAAGCACTTTCTTCCATCCACCTATTTATTAAGCTTCCAGCCCACTTCATTAGGTCAGCTGCGGGCAAGCCAGTCTTTCCCACTTCTCCTGAGGTGCCCTCAAACCTGGGCACAAGCCCAGTTTCCCAGGAGGGCATGTTGGCAAACACCCCAGCTTCTGCTCAGCGACTCCACCTGCTCAGCCAGGCTTTCAACGGCTGCATCCTCCTCCTCAACTCAGGTCCAGGCTCCCAGGAGTCGGGACAATCACACCACACTAAACCCACCCAAAGATCTCCATGACTTGGTCTCCAGAACCAAACAAGTTCCAGGCACACAGATTATGTTTTAGATTGCATAAGGATGATAATGACAGTAACTGATCCAAACATAATGTCTAACAGAAACACTATTCTAAGTCATATATATATACATATACATATATATGTATGTGTGTATGTGTGTACATGTATGAGATAGAGACTGTAGTTGCACAACAGTATAACTGTACTAAAAGCTACTAAACTGTATACTTTATGGTAAGTAATTTTATGTTCTATGAATTTTACATCAATAATAAAAGTCTAGAGAAGAAACTTGCTATAAGAAAATACTCTGGCTGAATCAGAACCCCAAAACTCAAATGCCCACATCAGTCAGTAAGAAAGACCTGGAGCTGGACATCTGTGTTCCTGGCGACCCGCAGTGCCTAAAAATATTCAGCTTCCAACATGTTTAAAATTGCAGTGCTGACCAAACAGAACCTTGGATGGTCTGCTTTCAGTCACTGCTCTATCTGTGAACTCTTGCTGGATGTTGTGGAAGATTATGGCACAAGCTCCAGCTTTGACATTTTTTAAAGGTACTGGCAAATTGAATTTCAAGATCCAGCAGAGAAGTTGGTGGGTCCCCAAAAATCAGCTCAATCCCAAATATTACAGGTATGGTGTGTGATATAGCCAGTCAGAGAGATAAGACTGCTGACTCTGCTAGGGATTTAAAACAGACTCAATGCTGGGAGGCAGTACTGGAGAGTCAGATCTCTATCTCTGGATCCGTGGTATAGAAACAACTACTCCTTCACTCCCAAAACCCTTGCAGCAGGTTTCAACTGCAGAAGTTGCAATTGTGAGCCATAGTCTCAGAGTACAAGGGCATGTGACTTGTGGAACCAAGAGCCTGCAACAAGAAATGACACTGCATTCTTGTAAGAAGCTAGAATCCCATCTTATAAAAGTGGTATCTTTTCCCTATGATACTGTAAGGAAAAGAATTTGAAGTACAATCTGGAATTTAATCCTGTAGTTCTCAAATTTAGGGTCTTCATCTCTCCTGGAATTCCCAGGCCTCACCTTCATGAAGACTTTGCAAGAAGGAACCAGAAATCTGCATTATACCAGGTTGCAAGATAGGGGTCCCATGGATCACACTAGACAAACCCCCATGTAGTGAATAGTCTATGGATAATGGGATTGTGTCTATCATGTCAGAGTCTAGATTGTACTATTTGTCTGAATCTCTGAGCCCAATCTAGAAAATTCAACTAACCTCACAGAATTTTCAAGTTCTTTCTACTTATTTGTTCATTTAATGAATATTTATTGGTATCTTTGCAGATCTTTGCAGATAAAACAAATGTAACTCCCTCTTCTCACAAACTTTACATTTCACTGAGATTGTTAAAGGCAAACAATTACTTTCTCTTTACAGTGAAAAAGGTAGAAATAGAATGTCTAAGGATTGGAAGGATGGTCAAAGTCCCTTAGTATAACTACCTTGAAGGTGGTTTTCCTCCACAACATCCTCATTGATCAGTTATCTGTCCAGTGTGTACTTTAATATTTCTGGAAGCAGGGAGCCCACTTTCAACTGAATATAGACATTCATCCCTGAAATTTCTACCCCTTAGATTTAGCTCTCATTTATAAGGCCTTCAAAGAAAGTGAATGCTTATTCCCATAGAGTCATTAAAATATTCCAAAATGGTGCTTACATTGTTCAGTCTTCTTCAGGATGCAAATCCCTGCACTGGGGCCTAATTTAGAGTCTCCTCCCTCTTCTAGTTATCATCCTCCTCTGGTATACTCCACCATCATTTTGGTTGTTGTTGTTGTTGCTTTATTTAAGATTTATTTTATTTTATTTTATTGGAAAGTCAGATATACAGAGAAAGAGTAGAGACAGAGGGGAAGATCTTACATCCATTGATTCACTCCCCTAGTGGTAGCAACAGCCAGAGCTGAGCCACCAAGGCTACCATGCCAGGTCCTGTTTATTTTTTTAAATGCAATTAGGATACAATCAGTCTACTCATGCATTTACTAATGAGACACACATATCTTAGACATTGTGTTCTGGCTCTGGGGATAAAGTCTACAAAAAAGGATAACCATGACCTTCCCTCTGGAAATTATCTTTCTGTCATTGTTGAGCTATGGCTAAGGGCACAAATGCGGCAGACAATTTCAAAGGGATCTTCCCTCTGAAAAATGAAAAAACTCACCTTTATTTCCTTCCTTTATCTAAGCTCATTGATAGCTTCCAATTGCTTTCTCACCTTCTTTAACTTAGATAATATGATACCAGCTTCTAAACTTTTGATATTTTTCATTTCTAACTATATTTTCTTTTTTGCCTTTGATTCTTATCACCCTACCTCATTTTACATGCAAACATGTTTTCCTACATGTAGAATGCTGAAGTGTTTCTGTTTCATTTCAAAACAGGTAAATTAATGTCATGAATCAAAAATCAAGAGACCACCCAATTCAACCCCCTGTGTTATATATCACCTCCATCAACAAAGATGCCTAATCCCTATACCTTCACTATACATCTTTCACTGAATATCACATCTTACTCAGGCTGCTGTATCCATCTACCTATCCATTTCCTGCAGTAACCTGTAACATATATTTTCTGCCAGGACCACAGTAGTAAACAATTTCCCATAGAATCAGGAGTAGTACAAAGAGGAACCGGAAATGCTCTCTAAAAACCCAGGAAAGCAAGGATCCTGACCCACAGCTTGGCAGTAGACACACCCTGTGATTGCTAAATCAAGCCACAGGCCCAGGGTCCCTCTACTGGACTCTGAGAGCCATTGCATTTTACTTTAGAAGAAATTAAACTTGTGTTGAATAGTTAGAAACATCCAAGAACTGTTCATCAAACATTCCTAGTTTACAGAAGATAAAATTTGCTCTAGAGCTTCATTTTGGGGTTAAAAATAATCTCCATGAAAGCCTAATCCCACTTCTGTTTTAATCAAATGAAGAAACTGGGACTCAAGGAGAAGGTGTATTGGTAGTCACACAGAGACAAGAACCCAGGGCTCTTGACTTGAGGACTATCCTTTCTCCTCTGTTTCTAGATCCTATTCAGCCTTACACAATCCACCCACCCCTGAATCTCTTAGCCAGCATTCTAGTTCTAAGGGCTGAAGCCACAAACTATAATGGAAAATATATCCTAGAAACAAAGTCACACAAACAACTGCCATCTGGGTGTTCAGGAATCTAGCCATTTGCTGGCTCCTTCCTTTTAGGGCTGCTTATGAGAGGAATGGATCCAGAGGGATAATGTGTTCCTATTTTTCCTCCTAATCCAGGCCACCTGTCCCTTCTTGGGGGAATGCACAGTATTTGGGGCTTCCTATTAACATGTGACCAGCCACCTGTTGCTCATGCCTTTCCAAATTGGCCTATGCAGCCTGGGACCAACCAAATGGACCCCAACAGGAAACAAAACGTGGGTATTAGCAACATACTAAATTTGAAAAGTCTGGAGTCTCTGAGGAATTAGCACATCAAGACGAAGCTCCCAAGCAGAATGTACACTGTAACACCACCTCCTCTTAAATGTGATAAGATAGTGTTGATGGGTTGTCAGGGTCTTTGAAGAAAAAGAAGGCTGGAGTCCACCACAGTCTGTCATTTTCTTTCATCCCCACTGCCATTCACTCATTCAACAAATATTTATTGACCACCTGCTACATGTCACTCACTGCCAATCATCCACTCATCTATTTGTACCACAAACTTCTATGGACCTCGGCTAAGGGCAAAGTCCCATACTGCATGCAGTGCAAGATAGAGAAATGTGTAAAGCTCAGCCCTTGGCAAGAGGGGTCTCTTAATTTACTCAGGCCAGAATATTTACAACTGTGTGTTTGGAGGGGGATTCAAAGGAGTATGGATCACAGAGGACAGAGAAGTCACTCTCAGCTCACAGGTAAGAAGGCTTACAAGACAGTATTGTGTGAGATCTGACACTTGAGGAATGTGCAGGATTTAGACACACCGAGGAAATGTGTGACTGGTCAAATTGGTGCAACAGTGAGAGGCTCTAGCAGGGACCAGGGGAAACCAAGGAGATTCTCTAGGTTGATGTATAGGGTACACGTTCAGCCTTGGGAATAAATGGAGGTGGGAATGAATAAAGGTTTGAACCCTTGTTATTTTCCTGGCTCTTTAGGTTCTGAGGTTTGGCATCCCATCTGTAAACAGGCAGCCCGGGCAGAGAAGAAGTTAAAGGTAAGCAAGTTAGTCATGATGCCAGCCCAGCACTTCTGCATGACTACTGTTGTCAAAGTTTGGGGAGGTCTGCTCTTGTACAGAATCTTCATTCCTTTATGTGTACATTCCAAGCATATGCCTCTATTGCTGGCTTTTCTTAATGGTAACACTTGCCTTGTGCAGTTTTTGAGGCGACTGCGACATTGGCATGAAAGCACTCTGAAAATTGTAAAGCACTATATTTGTGTGGGTTTTTAGTGTTTCTGGGACAACAGCATTAACCTACTAAGACTGGCCAAAATGGCAGCCTCTCTGAAGAGCTCTTACCAGAATTTTTCCTGAGTCAAGGTAACTTACTACTAATAATAATTGTTAATATTGTCACAGTAGTTGACAGTTTACAAAGCATGTTCACAGATACTCTCTGATTTGTTTTCTTCAACCTCATGAGCCACATGAAGCAATAGTTTATCTTGGCTTTTCCTATAAAATAGGTTTAAAGAAGACATTATTTGCTCACAGTAATGCAGCCAGGCAGAAGCACAGCAGGGTCCCCAGGCTTGCAACAGGCCAGCTGAGGTCCAGGCCCTTCTGGGTGATTGAGCTCTGACAAATTCCATGAAGGCCTAAGAATGGGCTCATAATGCTGCAGGGAGTGTGTGGACCCTGGAACCCAGCTGGGTCCTTGATAGTGGGGGCAGGGTTGTGGGACAAACTTGATGATGCCCATCAAGCCTTAACACCCTGCTGCTGAGTCTCAACTTGGTTCCTTGAGATTCCATTACCTGCTGGAGTTTCCCCCAAGTGAAAACACATATGTACTCTCTCTGCCAGCTGGTGAAATGGGTCCTACTGCTATCACATTCACCCAGTGTGAGTTTTATGAAAGAGCTGATGAATGCTTTGGAACCATGACATTTTTTTCACTGTTTATCCCAAGGCCTCTCCCTTTCTTTTCTATCTCAATGTCTTCCTCTTCAGTGGCAATTAAAACTTTATATATACAGAGAGCCCTGGTGCTTTTTGCTGTATCTGCATGCCACTATGTAGTGAATACGTTGTCTTTAAATCAACTCTGCATCTTTACTTATGTAAACATACTGTAAAATAACATATTATGTCACCATGTGTAAACTAATAATATTTGCTATCAGCAGAAAGTTCAGGGAGTGAATTCAATGACAATACAAAAATTCTAGCTAGTTATGTTTCCTATACTGTCTTTGTTTAAAAGGGAAAATTAGCAGTTGTTGAAAACAAATTGAGAGTTTCCCTCAATCTAATCAAAAGGGGTGAAATAAAATGCTACATTTCTTTCTTATTCTATGACTCAGTACTATCAAATGTTCCACTTGAGTTCATCTTGCCAGAGCCACCTTAGTCTAGGAATCACAATTTGAGACGCACTGCTGCATAGCCCCACTTAGGATAGAGCATCTCAAGTGTAGTATGAGCCATCTGAGAGGAAATTAGGCTTTCTTAGTGCTCATTCCCTCAACCTAGTCCAAGATGTGGTCTCTCCCTTCCCCCAAACTAGTCCATGGTACAGTCTCACTCCAATGTCTTCATCTCTCCCACAGCATAGACGGACATCTGAAACCTCCATCTCACCCCCTGGATCCAGCATTGGATCACCCAACCGAGTCATCTGCGTACGTATCACCTGTCTGCCACTGAAAGACCTTTCTTTCCCCTGACCTGGTATCTAGAAAGTTTCTTAGAATGAGAGAGCTATCAGGTTTTCATCTAACTGGAATTTGGCACCTGACTCTATACCAGGTCTTGAGAATACACTGGAGCACAGGGAGGACACAGACCCTGCTGCCCTCAGGAAGCACACAGTCTAATAAATCCAGGGATGCAGAGGTAATGTAGAGGTCTGTGGAGCACAGAAAAGAACGTACAATGATGGCAAGCACCCTTACTGAGTTCTGAAACTGAACAAGGTACCTCCCCTTTCTTGTCCATTAACTGAGACAAGAGCAAGATGAAAATTGGGGGTTGGTTGAACATTGGGTGAAATATCCATATGGTACTAATAGTGAATGATAAAGAGGCAGAAAGGAGAAAGAAGCCACATATATGTATAAACGGCCATTAGGGATTTGAAGACATGAAAAAGAGCTTTCTCATCATGGGAGAAGTCCAGACCAACCATGTGTATCTAAATTCCAATCTTCAGGGCCTTCAAACTCAGAGACTTACCACTTGCCTAAGATGTGGGATGGACGTCTGTATAAAGGGACAAAGGTTGAGCTGGATGGCCTTCATTCATTCAGTAATCATGTGCTGAGCAATTGCTCAGTGCTACACACTGTGCCTTGCCCCAGGGATGTGGTGGTGAATGACACAGACCTGGTTACTCAGCCAGAACACTGAAACATAGTACCCTGGATCACCTACTGTAATTACAATGAGAGCTTGCAGGGGAGGGGCACAAACAGAGAGCTCTGCAGATGTTACAGATGAACAAAGGAACCTCAGAGGCCAGGACTGGCCAGAACAAATCATCCCAAGGAAGAAACATTCAGTCTCAGAGCTGAAGGATCAACAAAGCTAATGGGCAGGTAGAGCCAAGGATAACTGAAATGAGCAGCAAACATCAACGTGACTGATTCTGGGTTCTTCCAGCTCCTACAAGTCAAAGGAACCAAAAGGTAGAGGAAACAGTCAATAGCAGGAAGCTGCTCTTAATAAGAAGTTCTACATACAGGCCCCACACCAGCCACTCCTGAGTGGGCCTTGACACCTCTGGTAGATCATTATTCCAAATCTATACCCAGTCTCTTCTATGATCCCTGAATAATATCTATTGATGGGACTGTCTCCTTTCCTTTCTTCCCCCTGTCACATGAAGAAAAAAAAAATCAGAATATCAATTGGCTTCAACCTCAAAATGGGTCAGTACACACTGACTGTGGTTATCACAGAGGATAAGCTACCTTGATCGCAGGCTTTACTCATTGAAGATTCCTGTCTAGAACTAAAAAAGATAGTGCCCTTGGTCGTATGAATGGGGCCAGACCACAGCAGGATTTGTGGGCTTAGTTGTAGGACCTGCTTCACAAAAAGGTCATTAACAAATGTGAGCATCATTCTCCCCAAGAATTATTGGGCTGTAAGAGCTCAGTGAGCTGCTGCACTGTGACACCATTAATCACTAGCTGTTCTCCCTGGACCAAGCTTTGTGAAATAAATTAGATTGGAGTCCTGGAGAAAACCTCACAGAACTGACCCTCTGAGAGTTATACAGTGGCACCAGAGGGCACCTGCACCCAGGCCATCCAACAGGGACATATGCACACTGAGATCAGGTGTGCCTGCATCCTAGCACAGACACAGATCTCCCTTTCCACTCTCTCACCTTTACAGAGCCTCACATGTAGCCATTCTTAGGAGTACTACGCATGACAAATGTTAATCAGAACATTCTAAACACAGCTTCAAGTTTTACTAAATAAGTAAATGAATCCACCTACCTGTCTCCATTTGGGAGCTGCCTTAACAGGATATTGGTTTATTTTTCACAGATACTAGATATGTGATATTAAAATGGAATCATTGGTTAACCTAGAGCATGTGGAGTCTTTTCAAACTCCATCCCCCAGTGGCTTCTATAATCATCTATTTTTTTAAATGAGTTATTTATTTTTATTGCAAAGTCAGATATACAGAGAGGAGGAGAGACAGAGGAAGATCCTCTGTTCGATGATTCACTCCCCAAGTGATCGCAATGGCCAGTGCTGTGCCGATCTGGAGCCAGGAGCCAGGAACCTCCTTCAGGTCTCCCATGCGGGTGCAGGGTCCCAAAGCATTGGGGCGTCTTCGACTGTCTTCCAAAACCACAAGCAGGGAGCTGGGTGGGAAGTGGAGCTGCCAGGATTAGAACCGGTGCCCATATGGGATCCCGGCACGTTCAAGGTGAGGACTTAAGCCATTGGGCCACCATGCCGGGTCCCTTCTATAATCATCTTCAAGTGATTTGACTTCAGCCAGTCCCCCATGTTTTCCTACTTCCTTTTGGGATAGTTTTGTTAGAATGCCTCTGAGCAGTCAGTGTGCCTCCAGACCTAAGACCAGGTGCAGCTCTGAAAACAAGGTAGCTGTGAGAAGTATTTTGCAGGTTAAAGTGTCAAAATGAATAATTACGGGCCAAGATGAGTCTGTAAAGTGCCAAGAGTTCACTAGGTCAAGATCTAACATCCCAGGAGAAGTCAAGTTTCCTTTACCAGCACACTCCCAAACTGGCACAGACATGGTTTCTGCTCAGGTCAACTCTGGTAGAAACCAGATGTCACACCTCAAAGCATTCAACTAAGGGAGGGTTAAGTGAAGGGACCATTTACAAAGAGCTGTGTACAGGACTAAGGGGACCCACAAGAGGTCAGAGTCCCCCAGATACTGCAATTACAGACATTATTCCCAGTTCAGATCTAATGAGACAAGAGAACAGGCAAGAGCTGTTGCTGTGGAAGAGCAGCTGCCAGGCAGCAATCATGCCCAACCCAAGCCATGCAGGAAGGCTACCAAGAGTAGGTTCACCTGCCACCTTCTCCACTCTAAAACCCAGAAAGAGAAGCTGTGATACAGGCCAGGAGTGGCTCAGGGCATAGACTGGGTTAGGAACGGTGGATAAAGATGTAGAGGCAATAGAGCATGAAGAGCACGTGCCTCAATAGCAATGGGATGAGACAAGGACAAAATAGTGAAAGAGCTTGGGATTTTTTTTATACTGAGATTTGAAGGTATTATGAATACTGCTCTCTAAAGGAATATTGGCCCTGAAACTTTACCTGATCCCCATGGATTTGGGAAAACATTATGAGAACACCAGTTAGCTACTTCAGAAAGTCTGTGGTAAATGGAATTTAAAAGATACATTTATTTTGTCACAAAAATATTTCATAACTTATGTTTTCCATGAACTTCTTCGAAATCCCATATACGCATGGATTTCAAAATTTACTGCACCCAAAGCAAACATTTTTTAATTCCATTTCCACAAATTTTTAAAGGGCCCTCACACAGTCTCTCAGGTTTCCTATTTATCAGATTCTTTTTTTTTAAGATGTATTTATTTTTATTGAAAAGGCAGATATACAGAGAAGGAGAAACAGAAAGAAAGATCTTCCATTTGCTGGTCAACTCTCCAAATGGTCACAATGACCAGAGTTGAGTCAATCCAAAGCCAGGAGCCAGGAGCCAGGAGCCAGGAGCTTCTTCCAAGTCTCCCGTGCAGGTGCAGGGTCCCAAGGCTTTGGGCTATCCACTACTGCTTTCCTAGGCAACAAGCAGGGAGATGGAGGAGGAGTGGGGCAGGCAGGACACGAACAAGCACCTATATGGGCTCCCAATACAAGGCGAAGGTTTAGCCACTAGGCTATCACACTGTGCCCAGCAGGTTCTGTCTTGACTGACTGACTACACCAGGGCTGCGAGATTTTTGATCCAGGAGAGAAAGATCCTGGTTGAACACAGGCCACCTGCAGGGCGTGGACATAGAAGGGACCATTTTCCCCCTCCAGGATGCTGTGAAAAGGGGTGTTTTCATTGTGTAGGGTTGGAAGGCATCAGCACCCAGGCTGTGTAGTTCAAACATACTAGTTAAGGGATGCAAGTTATGGATATAAGTATAAACTTCCGTTTCCTGGCCTGGAAAATAGTAACAATATTGATAGAGATATTATGACTTTAGTAAGATAATTCCTGAACAGCAAACAGGATGTGCTCCATAAATGATAAACCCTGTTGAAATGGATGGCTCCTGAGCCATGCTGATTCTAACATTCTACAAGTCTTCTCTTCTATTTGATCCTAATATTTTGTTTTCAGTGGAAAATGGGGAAACTCGTTCCTCCTGCACCTTGTTTTTGCTTCCTCTCTTTTCCCTTTTATCTTTCTACTTCTTTCCTGTCCGTTTCCCTCTTCCCCAGGCTAAAGTGGATAATGAGATCCTTAATTACAAAGACCTGGCAGCTCTCCCCAAGGTTAAGTCCATCTACGAGGTACAACGCCCCGACCTCATTTCCTACGAGCCTCATTCCCGATACACGTCCGACGAGATGCTGGAGAGATGTGGCTATGGAGAGGTATTGGGTGTTGCCCTTTTCTCTGGGGCTGCTTGTAGATGAGGAGGTTCTTCTGGGATCACAGATGGCTTGACCTCCTCGGAGTTGGCCCCTAGACTCTTTTAAACTGGCATTTATAACCAGCGTTTATAAATCAAGAGATTGCTTCCCAAAGTCTAGCTTTCTGGTTTTTCTTTAAAAATCAGGGCTAGCCCTATTAAATCTGTATTTTCATCCTCTGGAGGTGGGTCGCAGCGTCCCCTATAGACAGGACGTAGGCTCCTCATTCTCCCCTAACTCAACCAGTCCCTGTTAATCTCAGCATAGGAGCTGGGAGGTGGTAACCACTCATTGCTTAAGAAGCTGTTGTTTTTTCTCATGCTTCATCTCCTGCTCGCCTCACTGGCCATCTAGGCTTACAATCTCTGATTAGGCAAGTTTTCTGGCGTTCACGCCTGGCCTTAAACTCCTATGTTCAGAGCAAAGCACCTTCATAAGGACTTGGCATCATATGGCTTTTGATGCCCTCAAGTGGTTGCTAGACAAGAGAAAGCATTTTTAAAGAAGGTAAGGTGGCCATTACTCAGGAGATCTGGCCATCCGTATCCCAGGAGATTTCTGACCCCATCCCTTGCCCCTGAGCTGAGGGCACTTGGGAGCAGAAGGAACCCTGGCCTGATGATGGTCAGGGACCAAGGCACCTGTCCTGGCTCCACAGGAGTTGGCCTGTGACCTCAGGCAAAGTCCCTTCCTCACTAAATGCACTGGGGTTCTATTTGGCTAGAGGTCAATGCTAAGCTTCTCTGAGTTCTGACCCCTGAAATAAATCATGCAGGGCCAGGCAGGATGTAGGTGAGGTGTCTGGTGGAAGCTGATTGTCCTAAAGTTAGAGATGACAAAGAGGACACACAGGCACCAGAAGCCTCCAGATGTTTTGTTTCACTCCCCAAGGTGTCTTTTAAATGATGACGATTAATAGCTACTGTGTAAACATGAGGAGATTTCACATGAGACCTTGTGACTTGTCTTGGAAAACGAAGAAGCAGGCTAAGGCAGGCAAGGCATTCTGGCAGACCATGGGTTTCCTAAAGAGACGTTGTAGCTGCTCTCTGCTCAGGACACTAGCTCCTGCTGCAACACACACCAGTTCAGGCTCTGCAGTGATGGTTGAAGCCTGGCTGTTGCTTGTCTGTACATTTGAATTCCCTGCCTTGGCATTGCCCTTGTGATCCACAGCAGCGGTCATGGGCCAACAGAGAAGGGGAAGAGCTGTGAAGATAGCTCTGAGCTGCCAGTGGAGAAGCCAGGGCCAAGTCCAGAGCCTGCTGCCTCCTCTACAGAGGCCCTGAGCAGCCCTGAGATTCACACTCCATCCCTGGGCCCTGGTTTTTCTATGCATGAAAGGAGGATGTAATCATCACGGTTCCTAACTCCTATTAGCAGCTATGACATTCTGCACTTCTCAAGGAACAGTAATCTGGAGAGTGGCACCCCAGGAGCAGCTGCAGGCCCTCTCTTTGCCAAACCGTTTAACCACACTCTGTGTCTTCCTCTTGCCCTCCTCTCTCTCCCTTTGCTCCCTCCACGGCTGACTCCAAACTCTTCACCTCTAAGTCGCTGGGAACCTTATCTCCCTACTCTCAGGTAATTATGTTGGTATATATAAGGTGGAGGAGGCATTATATCTAATTGTGTCCTGATGTCAACCAAAAAGACCCCTGACTTTATACCCTCCCCAGCACCCCAAGGGGCCTGAGCCTTCACTCAGTATGCTTCCCCCAACCCAAGTTAAGCCCAAGACTTACCAGCTTCAGAAGACATATCAGGTGCATAAAAGATGGGAACAGTAGGGGAGAACCCATGTGCCCTTTCCTACCAGAGATGGCCTCCCTCATGCTCCTGATTCCTGACCAGTATTGCAGGAATGACCCAGGGTTAAAGAGCAAGGGCCAGTGAGTCAAATATTAAGACCCTGAAAATCCTCTGCCACCCACCTTAGGCTGTGCATGGAACTCAGGGAGAGGGTCTCAGTGTTTGTGCCTCAGCTTTTGGAACTTCCTACTTGGTCCTTGGGCAACAAGCCATGCTAACAGTCCTTCCTCCTTCCCCAGGACATCTATGAGAACCTGGACCTCCGGCAGAGACGGGCCTCCAGCCCAGGATACATCGACTCCCCCACATACAGCCGGCAGGGAATGTCTCCCACCTTCTCCCGCTCACCCCACCACTACTACCGCTCTGGTAAGGAAGGGGAAATCTGAGATAGGGAAAGAGCCTGGGGTTGGAGACGGGCAGTGTAATGACCTGGAGCTCTGCTGCCTGGGACACAAGACCTCTCCATAATCCAGGGTCTCTCTTTCCCAGCATGGCCCTGTGGAGGCCTGTGGTAACCCAGGTCACTGACTGGGCCTCCTCAGTCCCTGGGATGCCCTGGGAAGGGAGAGGGGTATGGAGAGAGAGACTGAAAAACATCTGAAGACTGAGTGGCAACTTCCAGGAGAAGGTTGGAGAAGATACCGTTCTCACCTTTGGCCTGCCCTACCCAGAGGAGAGAAGCTGGAGGCCAGAACAGCTGTGTGCTGACCTCCACCCAAGGACCTGGTTCCTCCCAGTCCAGGTGTCCACCACTGCCCTGAGTTAGGGGTTCAGCTGGTGCTTGGATGGAAGAGGGGAAGGGAGGGCCCTGGATGGCAAGGAGCAAAGAACTAGGAGGGACAAAGCTGTCTTCTCTAACTCAGTGAAGTTAACCCCCATACTCTTACTTTGGGGTCCAACAAGGACACAGGCCAAGCTTGCTTCTGCCAACACAGTGCATGAGAGCACATGCTGCTTCCAGCACCGGAGCCCAAGCACGCTGGGTGCCAGCCCCGCACTTGTCCTTGCTGCCATCACTTCACTGCTTCCTTAACTGTACTGCATTAATGCCTGTTCTCTCTGTGCCTCTATTCTCTCTGGGGACCACTGCCTGCATGCTCCAGGGCCCGAGAGTGGCCGGAGTTCTCCATACCATAGCCAGTTAGATGTGAGGTCCTCCACTCCGACCTCTTCTCACCAGCCTCCCAAGCACTTTCACATCCCAGGTAGGCACCACTGGCCTGGTAGTACCAGCGTGGGTGCATGCTCTGTGGGGTGGCCGGGCACCTGAGCCACCGACTCCATACTGCCTAAGCATTGAGGAGAACCGGCTCCTGGGAACCCTCTAATCAGCCTCCCCAACTAACCCCACCTTCCAGTCCACCCCCATGACAGTCCAGCCTTGGTCAGGACACAAGGAAGAGATCACAGAAAGAAAGGAGGCAGGAATCAGCAGAAGCCTGAACATCTGAGGGTTTTTATAAAGTGCAAAGATAAAATGGGATTGGGGGGGAGGCACTCTGGCTTTCTTTAAAGATTGATTGACTGATTTTTATTTGAAAAGCAGAGTGACAAAGAGATGGAGATACAAAGATGGAAAGAGAGAGAGATCATCTATTTACTGGTTCACTCCCCAAACAGCCACAGCCAGGAACTCCATCTGAGCCTCCCACATGGGTGGCCAGGAACCAAGCACTTGGGACATCCTCTGCTGCTTTCTCACATACAATAGCAGGGAACTGGATCTCAAGTGGAGCAGACAGGACTTGAACTAGGACTCCGATATAGGATGCAGGTGTCACAGTTGGTGGCTTAAAGTCACAGCACTGGCCCCCTGGGCCATGGGCTTTCACAGCAAAGCTTCTGGGATTTCATCTCAGTTCTACTGCTTAGAAGTTTCTCATCTGGGACCAGTTACACAGCTTCCCTAGGTTTCAGTTTTCCCAGCTGTCCAGCCAGGCACTGCTCTGGGCTCTGGGGGTGTTGCCATGCTCACCCCAACCTCGATCCTGCCTTCATGGTATGGGTATTCTGCTATAGGAAGAAGGATTAGAGAGAAGGATCAGAAAGAGGTAAACAAATAGGGGAAAGGTCATAGAAGGTAGCAATGGATGCTTTAAGTACTATAAGGGAGGGGTGTCATGTAACAGTGATGGGGTAGGAAGCTCAGGGTTAGATGCAATGGTCTGGAAGGGTTTCTTAGAGAAGGAATATTAAAGCTGAAAGACAAAAAGGAATCAGCCAGAGGGAACAGCAAGAATGGTCTGAGGTCAGAGGAAGGCAGAACCTAGATGACTAGGCAGGTGTAATTTGCATGAGGTCCCATTCTGAGTTACAACAGAATCAGGCCTAGGGCCAGATTCTGCAATGAATTTTTCATTCCCCACTCACTTTCCTCCCAAGAGTGTGTCCTGCAGTTTCATCCAATCCCTCCTCTACTTCCCCAGAGGGGTCCCACCCCTTCTGTTTCAGTGGGGAGGGCAGCAAGTATGCTGACTCCTAGCAGTAGCATCCTGCATGCTTCCACATGGAACCAGGCATGACCACCATGTGAAGGCAGTAGACACTGTCCTGCATGGGGATCTGCTGAGCACGCACCCACCTGTGCCTGCATGCCCACCATGTGTTCCACATCCCCTCAGCACCATCTGTATCCATCCATTCCATTCACCTATTGGGGTGAAGCTAGAAGCTCAGCTTGAGAAAAGAAAGTCCCCCAGTGGAACACTGGTGGCCCTGTGTAAAAAAAATAGCTAACTGTCTCTCTTCTCAGACCAACTGACCAAGTACTATCTCCTTTTTTTTTTTTTCTCTCTCTCTCTCTCTATCTCTCCCCCACTGTCCCTTCCTGGCCTTTCTGGCAGCTGGAGAAAGTAACATCTACCGGAAACCCCCGATCTACAAGCGACATGGTATGGTCAAGAAGCAGGCCAGGTGGGGAGGGGGCAGATGGTCCTACACAGATCACCAGGAGCAACATAATCCAAAGATGCAACTTGATGTTCCTTGTTGCCTGTTCACTAGTCACTCCAGGTTACACAAGCGAAGGGGCTCAGTGTCATTTCAAAAGCTCAAGAAGTATGCCATCCTTTCCCATTACCTCCCCAACTCTACCTGAGCTGCTGTCTGCAGTCCTGTACCTATGATCAGAGCAGTCCTTGTCAGATGAGCACACCTCTAGGAGAGTCACCTGGGCCATGGATACCAAAAATATGTTCACTGGAATCCCATGGGATACATAAGATTCCTGGACCCTACCCAATTTCCAGAATTAGGGTTTTGTATTTTTTAAAGGTTTATTTTTTATTGGAAAGTCAGATATAAAGAGAGGAGAAGAGACAGAGAGGAAGATCTTCCGTCTGATGATTCACTCCCCAAGTGGCTGCAGTGGTCAGAGCTGCACCAATCTGATGCCAGGAGCCAGGAGCTTCTTCCAGGTCTCCCATGCAGGTGCAGGGTCCCAAGGTTTTGGGCCATCCTCGACTGCTTTCCCAGGCTACAAGCAGAGAACTGGATGGGAACCGAGATTCATATGGGATCCCAGCGCATGCAAGGCAAGGACTTAGCCTCTAGGCTACCGTGTCGGGCCCAAGTTTTGTATCTTTAACAATTTCTCTGGGTGACCCTGATGCCCAGCCCAGCCTAGAACCATTGCTCTAGCTGTAGACAGCCACTGCCTCCTGAGAATGAACACAGTCTTGGAGATGTGGTGCAGATGAGAAAGGAGCAGAGTCACGTCATTCTCATACTTTCGTTCAATGGGAGTTTCTGAACAGATGGTCGGTGGACTTTATATACCTGAGAGCCAAACTAAAGCAGCATATTCCCTGCCCCTCTGTGCCCTAGATTCCCTTGATCAGAAATAATGGGCTTGTTGCCCAAGAATCTGCACTCTAACTGGCTTTGTCCATGACATCCGCCTGTGCGCCTGTGCTCTCTATGAGTACCAAGTTCCTCATCACTGAGGTTGCCTACTCATTTTTTTGGAAAGCACTTAGTGTGCCTTGGTTGAATAAGCCTACCCCTCCCTCTGTGGACACAGAGGAGTCACCTGTGCAGTGCTGCTTCCTGGCAGGCCTGGTTGAATATCATAGGAGATATTCACGAGTGGAACCAATCCACTGGTGGAGGGAGCAGCACAGCAGAAGTAGTGGCCCTACATGGCAGTGACTTTAGACAAACATTCTTGGTCTCAGACAGGACTCATCAGTTGTCCACATGTCCCTGAGTGACCACAGAAAGGCACCAACCCAGATACAGGTAATGCAGCTTTGTATCCAGAAAAGGCTCCTAGTCCCAAGCATTTCAGCCCTTCACAGTACTTTCCGGGTAGGCTCTGAAGCACTACACCAAAGCAGATAGATTCAGGAAGACTATGAGTGGAGGTGGGGTGCATAGACAAGAGGGTACAAGAAATGGCCAGAAGCTAAAGCTTCCCTCTAGCCATCCCTGGGAAATTGCAGCAGAGCCACACCCACCTTCTGCCCTATCAGTTATCACCAGAACTCAGGTCACTCTGAAGTCACTGCCCTGCGTAAGTGCCTGAGCCTGAGGTGGAATTACTGATCATCCCCACCACAGACTTGACTTCAGATGGAAGGTTTGCACCTGAACCAGCAGATCAATTCTAACACAGATGAGGAAACTAAGGCAAAAATGGGGCAGGGTTTCTGGCAGAGCTAGAACTAGAATTCCCACTTTACTGTCTGGCTATCTAGTGCTCCTTCCTTTAAGTCCTGCAGTCTTTCCAGAAAGGATTTGGTTTTTCAGGATGTGGATAAAAGGTTGACCTGAATCAGCACACATCATAGCCTGGAATGGCAACTCCCAACTCAATGTGGCTCAAATTCCTAACCAGGCAGGCTTCTAAAGGGCTAAGAAGTTAAGGTCTGGGGCTTGCCTGGAACCTATCAAGTCTTACTCTGAGGAGACACAGCCTCAGAGTTCACTCAGAAATAGACCTTGAAGTCCCTACATTAGGCTGGAAGGAGCCCTGGGCTGGGCCTCTGCCCAGTTCTAGCACAAACTTTCTTTAGATTCCTAAGAGCAAAATGAGGAGCTGACCCAAGTATTTTCCAGCCCCAGTATTTCATGTCCCATATCCTCCATTCAGAGATTCCTGACTTCAAAGTAGCCTCACTGCCCCAGACTGGAACCTGGCAGAGGCCAGGAAAAGCATGCACTGTCCTGGTCAGGACACCTGGCCTTCCTGAGAATGCTCTCCTTGGGTCCTTTGCAGGTGATCTGTCTACAACAACCAAGAGCAAAACAAGTGAAGACATCAGCCAGGTCTCCAAGTACAGTCCAGCTTATTCGCCAGACCCCTACTATGCCACAGAGTCTGAGTACTGGACCTACCATGGGTCCCCCAAAGGTAGTATCCCCATGGGCCCCTGGAGCCTAAGCTCATGTTACCTGTGGCCAAGGATGTAAAGGTCAGGACAGTCATCTACTCTTTCCCACCATCATTCTGCTTGAAAACCTTAGAGACTGCATAACTGAGGGTGTTTATCCATTCAGCAGCATGAATTAAAGAGCTCTCCAGGACACAGGAAGAGCAAAATAGACCAGATCCCTGCCCTAGTAGAGAAAGCATAGGTCCCAACCATGAGAAAGAAGCACAAGGTTCAGGGAGCTGATGGCAGGGGCCATGCAGTCCAGCTGAATGATAACAAAAGCTTCTCAGATGGAGAGTCTCAACTGCCACAGAGGTACAATAAGGATGTGACCAGCAGAGAATGCAGAAACACATCTGCAATGACACAAGCTGGGTGGGTGGAGCCACTTAGAGGAAAGGCTATACTACCATTTAGCTTGAGCTTAGTTAGAGGGAGAAGAATGGGGCAGTGAGGTGCAGGGTGGAGGGCAGCAGGTAGGTGAGGGGGGAGGTCCCTTGGGGCCTTGGGGGTTCAGGTAAGGACTGGGGTAATTATCCTTACCAGTGAGAAGCTACTGAAAGTAGCAACATATCCACATTTGTGCTTTTGAGAGACCACTTTGCCTGTAGGAAAAAAAAAAAGGCACAGGAGGTGGGGTGGGGGCTTGAGGGATAGAAGCAGAGGATGTGGGACAATAGAAAGTATCCAGAAAGGGGATCTTAATAATCCACTACCCTATCCAGTCAGATAACTCAAGCTGTTAGTTTCAAGTAGAGAGAAAAATTTGTATCAAATTCACCTCAACACAGAGTTGGCCAGGGGACTCTTCCAAGTTTCAAGGATGCTCAGAGTTGAGTTCTTCATTGCCCTCTTACCATTTAGAAAAGGAAGTAAGCCACAAAGCAGTCACCCAGAGTAGATGTGATCAGCACCCATGGAAGACAGGTCTATCCTCAGGCTGCAAAGGTGACAGAAGATCATAGAGGCGACAATTACAACATCACAAAGAAAGAAAAATCAACTCCCAATAGCTAAAGCCAGGCAGGTGAGTGGGGAACAAATGCCAGAGCTGATCCTGTTTCCTTTTGCAGTACCCCGGGCAAGAAGGTTCTCATCTGGAGGAGAGGAGGATGATTTTGAACGCAGCATGCACAAGGTGAGCAGGCTACCAGCAGGGTGTACCACAGAGAAACTTTTCATTTGTGAATAACAGAACCCAATCCAATGCAGTGTTGCATACTTGCAAAGTGAAATGGTAGAGTTCATTTCAGGAATGAATGATTCAGCTGCTCAAAAAAAAAATGTCATTATGAGGCTGTCCTTGCTCTTTGCTGATGCAGCTGGTCTCTGCCAAAGCTTCACACTCAGACATGTGATTTTCATGTGATGGTATGCCAGCAACCTTCCTATAATACTGGTGGGTATGTAGCTGGTGATGCTGCTACTGTGGAAAACAGCTTGGTGATTGCTCAAAAATCTAAACACAGGACTACCATATGATCCAGCAACTCCACCCCAAAAGAACTGAAGACAAGAACTCAGACACATAAGTAGACTTGCATGTTCACAATACCATTAGTCATAATAGTCAAAAGGCAGGAAGAAGCCAAATGGTTTTTAACTTGTGACTGGATAAACAAACTATAGCATATCCATACAATGTGAGGTTATTCAGTCATTGCCAAGTACATGAACCCCTCCAAATATTGTGCTTAGTGAAAGAAGACAGATATAAAACTACATGTTGCTTATTTCCTATTGTATGATATATCCTGAATAGGTAAGTAAATAGAGACAACAGGTAAATGGTGATTACTAGAGGTTAAGGACAGACAGGAGTGGGAGTTGACCACTTAAAGGACACAGGGTCTTCCTTTGGGTAATGACATTTTAGAACTAGACAGAGGTGGTGGTGGCACAACACTATGAATGTACTAAATGCTACTGAGTTGTTGAACGTGGCTCATTTTAAATTGTTATTTTCACACCAACTTGTTTTCAAAAGGGTGACTATCTGTCTATCATTTTACCAATCATGTGACCATGACAATGACTCTGTCACCAGCCAGGCTGCTTTCTTGTGCCCACCCACCACCACAGTCAAACCCAGACCTCAGAATTGCCTATAAAATAGATGATAACCCAAAGGAAAAGAAAGAACTGACACAGAGGCAGGGATACTGGGAAAGCAGAAATGACACAGGCTTACTGCAGGGGGGTCTGCTTACTCAGCCTTGCCTGTGCCACGGCCATCTCAATGTACTTGCTTCCTTCTGATTTCATCTTGCTCCTCTCCAATGCCCAGCTCCAGAGTGGGATTGGCCGACTGATTCTGAAAGAGGAGATGAAAGCCCGGTCGAGCTCCTATGCAGATCCCTGGACCCCTCCTCGGAGCTCCACCAGCAGTCGGGAGGCCCTGCACACAGCTGGCTACGACATGTCTCTCAATGGTTGTAAGTACTGCCTTGCAGGCTCCAGCAGACAGGACCACCTTCCTTTACCCCCAGCTGACATTTGACACACGTTCCCTGTGCCCTAAAACCCCAGCGGGCACAGCACACACATATATCTGTTCTTTTCTTCCATACAACAACCCTTGGCAATGCTGCTGTTATCACCCCCACAGTTTACAGATAGGTAACTAGGACACAAAAGCCTCTGGAACTTACCCAAGATCCATTCGGTTATAAGCAGTGAATCTCACTGGCTCCAGTGCCCTGCCAGGGTTTTTTTTTTTTTTAATTTATTTATTTTTTGTTATAGTCAAATATACAGAGGAGGAGAAACAGAGAGGAAGATCTTCCATCTGATGATTCATTCCCCAAGTGACCGCAATGGCCAGTGCTGTGCCAATCCAGAGCCAGGAGCCAGGAGCTGCTTCCAGGTCTCCCATGCAGGTGCAGGGTCCCAAGGTTTTGGGCCATCCTTGCCTGCTTTCCCAGGCCACAAGAAGGGAACTGGATGGGAAGTGGAGCTGCCAGGATTAGAACTGGCACCCATATGGGATCCCAGCAGGTTCAAGGCAAGGAATTTAGGTGCTAGGCCACCACACCAGATCCAGTTTTTATAAAGAAAGCTTTATTGGAATATAACCAGGCTCCAAGCTCAATATTTTGAGCTAACAAAAGAATTGAGAGAGACTGCCCAAGAAGGTTATTCTAGACCCTCCCACAATGCTCCATCTCCTCTATCTCCCAGAGGGAAGCCCCACTGAATCTGAAATACAGAGTTGGCCAGGGATCAGAGGAGATAGCAAGCAGGACCCTACTCTGCTCTGAACAGACCCTCCTGCTTCACTGAGCCATCTGAAGCCATAATTTCCAATCAGCATCACTGTAAGGAAAGACATTTTTTTCATGGTCAGCATAGCTCAGACACATGGGACTGCCTCCTAGGGTAGTGAGCCTCCCCTCACTGCCCAGAAATCTCATTTAAGATCAATCCTTTGTGAACAGTAAAATGAATTAGTTCCTACACTCAAACACAGCATGTCTTTGTAAATAATATTGCTACTCCTGGTACTCACAAAGACACATGATGTGTGAGAATTCTCACCATCACTTTGTAACTGTGAGAACTGAGATTAAGCTACTTATTGAAGGCCAGAAAGCCAGTGACTGAGCATCAGACCTGAGTCTGAACATCTCCCCTCTCCACCACTCTTCACCTTGACTCTCAGCAACGTTGAAGGCAGTAGTGGTGGTGGTAGTGGCAGCAGCAGTAGTAAAGCCAAGTTTATGGAGTGATATGCATGTGTCTGGCACTATGCTAAATATCTCACTCTAATACATCATATATGCATTTTAAAAAGCCCATATCAGAGATGCTATCACCCCCCATATTATAGATTAAAAAAAAAACAGAAACATGGTTAAGTAACTTGGATAAGGTTAGGCATCTGTTAATGGCAGAGTCGGGATGAAGAGATGAGCCTGTTTCCCTCTTTATGCACAGAGAAGCACTGTTTTCAATACTGAGAGAACATTCTATAATGTTCACTAACATTCTATACTTAATGGTCACTAACACCACTCATAATTCAACTCCATTTCAGGCATCTGAATAACAAACACAACAGGGCAGCTGTTCTGTACCTGTTGCCATGTTATGACTGACCTAGTGGGGAAGGGAGGAGAGAAACTGGACAGTGGGAAAGAAAGTATCAAGCAAGGCTCCCTCTCCACCAGCCAGAATGGGCTGGGCGTGAGAGCCATGTCTCTGTCCACAGGAACACTGACCTCTGAATTTCTCTCTTGCAGCCCCTCGGTCACACTACCTAGCTGACAGCGGTATGTTTGGCCCTACCTTCAGTTCATCATGTCCCATGAGGGCCAGAGCTGAGTGGATTGCACTTCCCCATAACTCTGATGACCCTGTATTGAAGCCATGCCAGCCTAGCCCTCATCTCAAACAGTCCACCCTATCATATTAATCAGATTATGGGTCTCAGTCTGAGGCTCCTGAACCCAGGGCTGCCATACACAGCAGCTCCCAAAGAAAAAGAAAGAGCATAGGCCTCCCCCACCTGCCCATCTGCTTCAGAGCTCACCTCCAATTCTAGAGCCTCCTGTGGCTAGGGCTCAAGGGTCCATCACAGGAAAATAGATACATACAAGGTCAGGGCCAGAAGAAGGCCCGGTATGTGCCTCTGTTGGGTCTAGAGTTCTGCCTGAGTGAGACACCTCTGAGATAAGCAAGCTGTAACACTGGACCAAGGCAAGAAGAGCTGGCTGCCCCAAGTTCTGCTCTTCTACTCTGGGAGGGGAGTCGTTTGCCACTTGTAGCCAGGTAATCTCAGGGAGAGGGCCCCTTGGCTTAGGGCTCCTGGTGATCGTTGTTCCTCCTTTTCAGATCCCCTTATTTCCAAATCTGCCTCCCTGCCTGCCTACAGAAGAAATGGCCTGCACAGGGTAAGAGCGGCTGTTCAGAGGGATGTTGCTCCAGATGCCAGCATTAGCCGTCCTGCTGGTGACTGCTGATGGGTGAGACCTAGACGAGGGCCCTGAGGGTAGAGATTGTTTGACTGAAAGAATCCGGTGGCAATGGGTTCATGACTGACTCCTCTCCCTTGTGATTCTTATGTAAAAAACGGCTCCCGGGGGAAGGGTGAGAAAACAACTAGTATTTTTGGGTACTGTATCAGACCCTGAGTTAAGCATTTTCCAAGCACTAACATATTTAATATTTGCAGTCCAGGGATGCAGTTACCATCATTACTCTCATTCTGTGGATGAAGGAATGGGGGTGGGGCACAGGAAGAGTAGATACCTTCTGCAAGCTCTCACACCTGGTAACTAGCAGAGTCAGGATTTGAGCCTAGGCCGTTGACCTCACTACCCACACCCAATTGCCATGCTCAAGTGGCTTTTTACATACCTTGAAGTCTCCTATGCTTTTTGACAGCCTATAACAAGCAGTAAGCTGGCTTAAAAGGGAAAGAAAACATATCAAAGAGGTTAGAGAGGAGAGAATTCAAAGGCTGGATGCAGGAAGGAACCTCAGCAGGGCCACTTCAAGGTCTGTACTATTGATGTGGCCAGAGGAAAGGGCAGTATCTAAGTCCCTTAGCAGACAGGCCAGCATGCGCCTGAGCCAGCAAGCCCAGGATGGAGCAAATAAGGCCAGGAAAGCAAACAGCAGTACCCTGTAGGACCTTGCACACAGAGCAAGGACTTCAGAGAGTTTCTGATGGGTGTGCAGTGTGATCCGACTCAGAGTTTCAATGGGATCCCTCTAGCTGTCAAGTAGACCAGAGACTGCAGTGACAAAAGTGGAAGAAGTAGAACCATTCAGAGACTATTATAGGGCAGAGGACACCAATGGCATCAGTGTGTCATGGGCCTGTGTCCACAACTCCAGCCCACTGAGGACCGTGGCCTCCACAGGGTGAGAGCCTAGATGTTCACTCATTCAGCAGATAGCTAGAGAAAGCCTTTATTCCATGTCACATACAACTCTGGGTGCTTGGAATATATCAGGGACCAAAACAAACAAGGATCCCTGCCCCTTTTGAGCTTATTTTATTGTACAGAGAAAAACAGAAAGTAGTAAGTAATCAAGAATAGAATATGTTAGAAGCTAGTGCTATAGAAAAAGAGTGGAAATATGAACAGGAAAAGGAGACCTAAGAGTGTGTGGTGGAGGCAACGTGTACTTCCAGCAGAGTTGTAGGAACAGCTCTGATAGGAAGAGGGATATATGAGCAAGGAAAGAAAGCCTGAGATAAAATTTAGCCAGTCAGTGGATGTATACTGAATTCTTGTTCAGGGAGTTAGAAGTGAGTTAAATTTCCTTAACACGAAACAGGAACTTTGGAGAGGGTCCCTGTTCCAATAGCCCAAGTCCACTTTCTAGAGAGGGGTGGGTGCCTCAGGGAAGAAGCCAGCTTATCTCAGGCCTGTCCTGCCTCTGTGTCCCCTGCAGACACCCAGCGCAGACCTCTTCCACTACGACAGCATGAACGCGGTCAACTGGGGCATGCGAGGTGAGTGCTGGCCATGCTGGGATCTGCAGGAAGAGGGCCGCTCTGGGGACTTCCTGATTCTCCGGATGTGTTGCTCACAACTGCAACTTGACCTCCTGCAAGCGATCCCTGCAGACTGGCTGCCAGGCTCTGTCCCGTTCATATCCCACTCCCTCCCTTCTTCCTCATGTTCCACATCCTCTTGAGTCCTGGGCTTTGGCTTTTGGATCTCCAGGCCATTGTCCCCTTGGACTGCTGGGTGAGAGCTGCACGCCAGCCCTAATGGAGGGAAATACCCAGAGCCACATGCACTTTGTTCCCAGTTAAAACTATCAGCACATGCTGTCTGCCAGGAAAGCACTCATGCCAGCCTCTACCAGCTCCTCTGAGCAGACCCAGGGAGAAAGGGTCCCACTTCAAAATCATGGACAATTTTCCCCCTTGAACTCCTGAGCTTCATTATCTCAGATTCTTCTCTTTTTTCCTTTATTTTCTATTTTATTTGTTTGATAGGAAGATAGGGAAACAGACATTGATCCCCCACATGCTGGTCGACTCTTCACATAATTGCAACAAGCAGGACTGGGCCAATCTAACCTAGGAGCTCAGAATTCCACCTGGGTCCCCCATGTGAATTAGACAGGGACTCAACCACCTGAATCATGGGCTCCTCACAGGTTATTAACAGGAAGCTGAAACTGGGAGTGGTACCAGAACTCAGCACTCTGATATTAAATGTGGGCTTTTTTTCCTAAGATTTATTTCTTTTTATTGGAAAGTCATATTTACAGAGAGAAGGAGAGACAGAGACAAAGACATTCCATCTGCTGATTCACTCCCCAAGTGGCCACAATGGCCAGAGCTGAAGGGATCCAAAGCCAGGAGTCAGGAGCTTCTTCTGGGTCTTCCACATGGGTGCAGGGTCCCCAGGCTTTGAGTCATCTTCTGCTGCTTTCCCAGGCTACAAGCAGAGAGATGCAAAGGAAGTGAGCAACAGGGACATGAACCGTGCCCACATGGGATCCCAAGGCAAGGACTTTGGCCACTAGGCTACCACACTGGGCCCAGACGTGGGCATTCTTAATCCCTACCTCAGATTCTTTTTATTTCTATCCTACATATCTCAAAAGCCATGTTTCCCTCTAACCCATCTTAAGATCAGCCCAACTCCTATCTCTAGCCATTGGGTTCAACCCAGCTTGATTATCCTTGAGGGCAGATTAATCAAGGACAGGATTCTTGATGTACAGTAGGAAGAGATGGACAGATACTAGATCTCCTAGGAGGAAGAGACCAGTACCGTGTACAAAACAAAGACTAATGGACTCCATTGTGTGTATCTCTTTTCTCTCTGCAGAATACAAGGTAAAGAACATGCACTGACCATGGAGACCTCTGGGATTCTGGGAGTTGCTACACTGGGGACAGCAGGAGGCAGCACCATCTGTATAAAGAAGGGGACACGGATATTTAACCAAAAGCGTTCTTTCAAGACTGACATTCCCCGTCCCTTCTTGGCCTTCTTTCCCTGACTCTTGACCTAGATCTCTTGCCTATTGAAATCAAACGGCTCTTTCGAGTCTCAGAGACTTTCTGGGGCTTAGACACTTATATTGAGGAACCCTGATACTCACAAATGAATGCCAAATACCACCAACCTTATCCCTAGCAATCTCAGGGGATTCTCTAACACCTTGCTTTGGGGAGAAGGTGGCTTTGAGCTACTTGGAAACCCTAAGGAGAGACCCAGCCCTTCCTCCAAATATCACCTCTGGCCTTTTCTAGATAGAAGAGGGAGCCAAGACACAAAATATTTCCTCCCCAAGCTGGAAACACCCCCAATCCTCTCTCTTTAGATCTACCCTTATGAACTTCTGCTGGTGACCACAAGAGGGAGAAACCGACTGCCCAAGGATGTAGACAGGACCCGCTTGGAGGTAAGTCTGGAAAACTGAGCAGGAGCCTTTGGGCTGGAGGGTTTTCAGGAGTCTCTTGGACTAACCTGGTTCAGTAGAAATTACTGGAATGGGTGGTTTTTAAATCACACCATTTGTTAAAAAAGCTGCTTAGCTCACAGTTGCTCTCCACTGTTCTATGTTACCTCCTGTTCAATTCAGTTAACATCTGTGTGCTCAGTGACTTGGGGCTACAGGAGGCCAGGCTGCAAGGAGAGCTAGATTTGATGCCTACCATCCAGGGGTCCGCAGACTCAGTATTTCATTTAAAACTCATACTTATAATACGCTACTGCAGAGAGGATACTATAGAAGATCAAAGCATAAATCCATCTCAAGCCGGACTCCCTAGTATTAATCTCTGAATCTGTCATTGCTAGATGGGCATCTTCAGTTACATGACAACCTTGCTAAACTTTAGTTTTCAGCTCCCTTGATTCTTCCTCTGGCCTCCTCTACCTAGCCTTGTGTCCTGAGTGCTGATCAAGCACCTGACACTCTCCTTTGTATCAGTTCACTGATTTATCCATTTCCTCTGCCTGACACTAATCCTCTTAGGGACAAATATTACCTGTCATCTCCCATAGTGTTTGGGCTAGGAGAGGTATCAGAAGTATTTGTGGGACGAAATGCAAGCTTCTAAAAGAGATAGCTAGGGGCCCTTAGGAAGAGCATATGCACCAACTTTGACCATGAGGAATTCACCCAAGGTGGAGGGCTGAGGTGGAAGAGAAGTGTGCATGGGCCAAGAAGCTCTGAGTCCCTCCAGCTCTAGTATGCTGGGTTAGCAGCCCATGGAAGCACATGATTCTCCCCACATTTGCCACAATGGTCACTGAATATATCTGTGGTGCTGAAGGGGACAGCTCCTATGGCTGTGCAGAGGGCCAATGTACAGAGATGGACGTGTAGTTCAGAACACCTAGAAGCACAGACCTAAATTACCCAAGGAGCTGTTTAAAATTACCACACAGGAACCTCGTCATAGACCAGTTTAGTCAAAATACAGAGAAAGCTCAAGCATTTTTATTTTTAAAAAGCTTCCAGGAATATCTCATACACATCTCGAGCTGAATCACTGAGCTGAAGTTACTGTCCTCAAATTCTCCAGCAATTCAGAGAGAGGAGTGAAGAAGGAAGACCCTGACCCTGTCCTCACAGACATCAGAATATAAATGTTCCTCATCCAAGCTGTAGTCATGGGAAATCTCTTACGTGTAATAGGTTCTGTTGTGGGTGTTCAGAGTACATCAGTGAGCAAAACAGAGATTTTTGAGATATCCTCTTAATGCTTACATTCTTGTAAGCCATAACACAAGTAAAGCTAAGTGATAATGTGTGTTAGAAAGCAATGAGGGCTAAGGGACAAAGTAAAAGGAAGGCACAATGAGAGGAGGGGGGAGTCACATGGAGGGGTAGTAAGTTGCTGTTTTAAGAAGTCAGAGGGGATCTCATTAATTTGTGACTCTGGAGCAAAGCCTGCAAATTGGGGAGGGAGTCTGCCATGCTTTTGTAGAAAGGAAGGACATACCAGACAGTGGCAGCAACCAAGGCCAAGGCTGTGGTACAGGAGGGAGAATGTTAAGGATGTCCTATGTTTGAGGATAGCAGTAGAGGGGAATGACATGTACACAGAAGAATGAGGAAGAGATGAAGGCAGAGGAAATGAGGACCAGAACATGCTTTGTAACAGACATGCAGAAAGACAATGACTGTGGTGAGAACGAGAAGCAGTTGAGCTTGACTACTTTCCAAGTGCTGGGCACATGGTGAGTGTGTGACCAGTGTCCTCTCATTCACCCTCATGGAACCCAGGAGGAGGACAGTAGGACACCTCATCTTGCACAAGAGGAAATTGAGGCTCAAGAAGACTTGCAGAATCTGTCCAAGGTCACACTGCTTGGTTTTGAAAAACCACAATCTTGACCCTACCTTTCAAGCAGAAGAAAGTAAATGAACCTTTTTAACTTAAAAAAAAGAAATATACAGCACTAAAAAATATTTCCTGATTTTCCAAGTATTCAGATGGACTATATGAGAAAAATGGAAATGAACATGAGATTTAACTACTAAGAATATGAGTTTTAAACTACTGTGAATATAATAAATGTGAGAAATTACTGGTGTTATTAAATGCTGTCAGGTATGTGAAGAGAGTACTCAAAGTCATAGGATATTTATAAGACTTTCACTCAAAGCTATATGTGCTTGAAATTCTGAAAATGCACTTAAGATTCTAGTTCATGGTGACACTATGCCAGAGAACTGGCCCATTATTACGTGGTAATAAACAAAATTCTCACAAAATATGTCTAGCACCCAGTTGGCTGATATAATTTCCAGCAACAAGTCAGTTCAGTGAATACAGAGAGCTTGCAGGTAGAATAGATGCCATATGTTTCCTCTTTTCAAGATTAAGTTTCAATTTCATTTTGAATACTTACAATCTGTAGAAAAGTTAATAAAATGAACATCCACCTGCCCTCTAAATGCAAATTGTTAATATTTTACTACATTTTAAGTGCTGTATATTTTTTTAACATAGAAAAAGTTTATTGTCATCTACTTAAAAAAAAACAGGACTGATCAAAAAGAGAATCTTTCAGCTTTTGCCTCACTTCCCAAACACTCATAAGAGCCAGGGCTGGACCAGGCCTAAGCCAGGAGCCCAGAACTTCATGGGTAGTGGGCCCAAACACCATCCATTATCTTTTACAATCCACTGGCAGAAGGCTCTCCTGAGAGGGAGGTACCATGTCAAAATCGTACTCCAATGTACAATGTAGACATCTTAAACAATGGCATAATCCACTGTGCCACAGTGCCTACCCTAAATGCTGCACATTTCTAATGCTAAAAGTTTTGAACAATGTGTCACATTTTCACAGTTGCTGAGAAGGGAGAGAAAGCAGAAAGGGGGAGAAAAGAATCTGCCATGGAACACAGAACAATGTTTGCTAATGTAGTGTCTTTGTTTTCAATGTAAAAATAAGGTAAAGGGAATTTTCAGTGGGTTGAAAACTATAAGAACTATGAAAACTGACGTGATGAACACAACTTTCCAGACCATTTGCAAACATACCAATAAGAACAAACACACCCTAAAACCTTGGACATGCCTCATTTTTTTTTTACCAAAGAGGAAGGGGATGGCATTGATTCATATATACTCCCAAACTCAGATGCAATGGACAGGGATGCAGAAAGGTCAACCAAGGGGCAGGAGGAGTGCTTATGGGAAGCTTCAGTCCCATCTGAGCCATGGCCAGGAGAGGCCTCCCCAGCAGATCAGCCAGAATGACATTTATTTGTGCATTCATTCAAACACACCTGCCATGGTCAGGCCTCATGACTGGCACACGCATCTGAAGGGGAAACCCCATAATCACTGCTGTTCCCCCTGCCCAGCTTGTACCTGACCTCTTCATGCTGTTCTCTCCCTGTCCCCTTCCTCCCACTTCCTGCAGCGCCACCTGTCCCAGGAAGAGTTCTACCAAGTCTTCGGCATGACCATCTCTGAGTTTGATCGGCTGGCCCTCTGGAAGAGGAATGAGCTCAAGAAGCAAGCCCGGCTGTTCTAGGCAGAGGCTCTATAAATATATATATGCATTTCTATAAAGATATCTGTAAAGTCTCAACACGGAAGCTAGGTATAACCCTCTCTTGTGTAACAGGCCATGTTGCCTGCCAGAGACTCACTTTCTGTATTGTCAGGCAAGCTCACATCATCAAGATATTTTTATGCTCCTTACTTCCTCTTTTCTAAGTGCTGTTAGACCTGGGAAGGGATTTGAGGGGACTCTGTCCTTTGACGGAGTATCCTTTTTATATTGAAACAGCTGTCCTTCCTAACTTGAGTCTCCTAAGGTCCAACTCTTGTTCCTAGATAAGGTGCCTAGAGACGCCTCTTTCTTCTCTGCTTCTCAGCCCTTTGCCCAAGGCCCCAGGGCTGATGCTGAACTTACTGGCCCCAGCGGGGCCCTCCCACAGGAGGATCCACAGTGACCTCCCAAACCACTGAGCACCTTGGAGATCCCAAGAATTTTCTCAACATCCCCAGTTAGGAGCTCAGCACTCTCTGCGGATGACACAGATGGAAGTGTGAGCCTCAAATTCACTGGCTACTCCAACAAAGAGAAGCGGCTAGGAGTCCTGGAGCCCTGGCTTCTCCTTAGCTCTTCATCCCTCCCCCTTCTGCCCTTGACCCCAACCTCTCCTTTATCCAAATCCAGAACCCATGGTAGGAAAAGAAAAAAAGGCACTTCCCTTCCCTTCCAAATGGCCCCCTTTGCCTGGCCTGGACTTGGAGAATTAGAGGAAAGGAGAGGGAGCTCGGCATGGGAGACAGAGCCTGGCACCTGTTGGAATCTGAGCTGTAGGGACCTCCTGGGACCACCTCTCCTTCACTGCTCCCAACACCTCCCCAACCTTGGTCCTTTCAAGGAGAGGCCCACTACAGCAGTCTGTATTCTTCAGCCTTATTACAATCTATGTGCCTGACAACTCAACACCACAGGGCTATGTTCCCACCTTAGCTCCCATCCAACGACTAGACAAGCTACTCCCACCATGGTTTAGTAGAAGAGCGGGCCACATCCAAGATGAAGGTCATGGTCCGGGTCTCTGGGCTGGCAAAACAACCATCCTAGGCCTGGGCCATCCCTGACCCTACTGAGAGGTAGGGTCTATTGCTCAAGGAGGCTTCTGAAGGCTGAATCTTGTGAGATTCTCAAGTGAAGCAGTGGTCAACACTGCTCATAGTCATCCTGTCTTCCCCCAATGACTTCCTTTTCTGCCTCCTTGCCTTTTAGAACAGGGTGGAAACTTAACCTTCTCTCCTCCCTTCTTCAAAGCTTCAGCCCTGAGTTGGTAATGTGCAGTGGGGGCTGTTCCTTCATGGAGATGCCTTGAGTCAGACCATTTTGAGATCTTATAGGAAGGATGAAGATGTAAAAATGACACTATGGCTGTGAAGATGAGTGTGACGTGATGTGGCCAACGTAGAACTGACATCAACAAACCTCATGGAGCACCTGCTGCTGCTGAGCACTTGCTGGATATGGGCACTGAATGGGGGAGTGGGGACACTGGGATGAGTCAACACAGGCCCTGGGTTCAGAGACAGTCGATTGATTCATCATGGGTATCTTATAGCGGGTACCCAGGCATGATGAGTGTAGGGAAGAAAGTGATTGGAAAAGGCGTGAGTAAGTATGTGTGTGACATTATTGAAAAGGCATATGCAGTCTGTGCCAACCAAGGAAAGCTTCTGGGAAGATACTGCATTTGAACAAGGTTCAGGAAGGATCTATGTATGCTGGGAAGAGACTGCATGTTGAAGGGGTGATAGGGGAAGGAGCAGAGGGGAAGTCCAGTATACTCACATTCAAAATGTCACTCTCCCTGTAACTTCTCTCTTTGGCCAATGTCAACAACTTCCCTGACCCTTTAGAAATGTCCCCAGTCAGACACAATCATTGAAACTGCCTCATTATCACTGATTGAGAACTTGGCGAGATTGAAGGGCTTTTGTTATTGTTGTTGAATATTTTTTCCCATAAAAACACATCATTTCAACCCAAACCTGTGTCTTTCTGTGGTTCCTAGTGTGACTAGAAATGACTGACGATGAAGAGAATGAACCATACACACTGTTCAATATAAAAGCTACTGCTTTGGCCTGCTCCTCTTTTGTATAAGAGAGGCTAATGAGATCTGTGCTGTTACTGGCTACAGAATGTGGGGTTCCTTGAGGAGGTAGAGGAAATTCCAGCAATAAATGAAGTTCTGTGATCAAAAATATTGGGAGTAATAGCTGCTCATTAATGAGGACCGATGACATGCCAAATTCCATGCTGGAGGCATCACACCTATCACCTCATCTAAGCCTCTGTAATGAATGGCTCAAGAAGTGATCATTATTAATATCTCTATCTCATAGATGAGGAAACAGCTTTGAGTTAGATATGCAATGACCACAACATAGTGCCAGGGCCAATCTCAGCCCATCTGACTGAAGAGACCAACTGCTCACTCTTTCTGGCACAGCCCTTTTGAGTGAGCAATTGACAACAGCCAGAATTGCAAGGTGCAAGGCAGCATGGTCAGCAGTTCATGTTGGCTTTTGTCCTCAATCAGTGTGTTCTCATCTCATGTTTACAAGAGGCTGCTATGATGTCCCTCACCCAGTGATATCACAAGACAGGAAGGAAAGTTCCCTTCGCATCTCTATTGTGATCAGACATTCCTCTACTCTTGTCACACCACGCAAATCTAGCTGGGAAGCTGAGTATTTTGACATCTTCAGACTCAGAAGTGGAGGGAGGGTCCCTGCTGACAAGGAAGGAAACAGCCAGGCAGAAAAGGAATGACCTCTGGATACGTGAACCATACTCTGTGCCATGAAAGAGAGATGTTCCCTTCCTCTGTAAATGCACAATGCATAATGCCAAACCCTTGGGAAGTCCTGCAGTACCTCTAAGTAAGCCATAAACTAACTCCACATGAACTCTTTTTAATAAATGCTACGCTAAGTGTATTTCTTCTAAGACACATACTTCTTTCACATTTCACCATATCCAAGCATGAGGTATGCCTTTAAAATAACTCCTTTCCTGACCTTCATCCTATGATTGCACAGCAGCAACTGACCCTGTCTACCCCATCATAACCATTCCAGGCAGATGACTCCAATGTGAAGAACGGTGCTTCAGAATATTCTGGGTCCCCACCTATGCCTGCAGCCAGCAACTATTTTCTTATTGGACATCTGTGGCCAGGCAGACACCCTAAGGTAAAGCTCTCCTCAGGTACACTGGCCCACAAGAGAAACAATTTGCAGAGAAGAAGTAGCCCAGGAAGTTAACTGCTACAGAGAAAACAAGCAAGGCACCGTGAGAGTACTCACTGTTGCTGCTTGTGGAAGGATGAAAACCCCTTGTCAACAGAAAGTGGCAATGGAGCGTTCTAATCAGGCAATTTGCAAAGGCACAGGAAACGAGCAGGGTCCTTATGTAAGGGCCTAAAAATGCCGCTGAGGATGGATCGAAGTTTGAGATTAAAGAGATGAGCAAGAGCAGAATACACAGTGTCCACAAGGACACCTCCCACCCAGTCATGCTTGGTGGAGGCTCTTGCCCTGTGGCTGTCAATATGTGCACACAGAGAGAACAGTTCTAAGTCTTGACACTCAAAGTACTGGCTGCAGCCCCCCATCCAAAATCATCAGATTCACCCAGAAGAGATGAGATGCTGGATCCCAGGCTGCAGTCAGATCAACCTGCAAGGTCAGCATTTTTTAACAGGGACAGATGCGAGAAAAGTTGTGATTTTATAATTCTAGGAGGGGGGCAAATTTTCCCCAAAGATGTAAGCCTTGGGGACACTGGAAGGCAACACTGCTATTAATAATGCAAAATACAACTTTGGGAGCCCCAGAAATAACAGAAGGTTAGGACTGAAAGCCAAAGCAATGGTCACATTTTTCAGGCAGAAACAGGCTTACAGCGCCCTAAAGCAGATCAGCACAGGGAGCAAGGAGCTAGGCGCCCAGTGCGGAAGGTACAGGCTGTGCTATGAGCCAGACATGGAGTAGACAGGCTGCTGTGTAGAACAGTTAGCAAAAATCAGGGTTGAGGAGCGGGGGGACTGTGAAGAAGCACTACTGAAATGAACAGCAACTAACAACACAGAATTATGCCAATTCTGTTCATAGCACCCATGCAATTAAGTCTTAAGTGTATCATTCTGTATCAGACTATGAATGGCTGAAACTACTGACCGTGCAGGGATAACCACCTGCTTACACACACAGCTCTGAGCTGCTGTCAAGCTGGCTGGAAGCCCTGGAGACTCAAGAGAAACAAAACCCAGAGGCTGTGAGGCTGGATGAGTGCCAGCCATTCCTCACCACATGAGCCCTCTTGCCTCTTCATCTGCCCCGTCCTGGGTGACAGGCACCAGGACACACACAAGAGACACCAAAGGGCACCACGCCCAGCTAATCCTGGAGCCACCTAAGACAAGGGTGCAGATAAATCAAGTTTAAAAATTCACATGACTAGGCTTGTGGTGCCTAGTGGCTAAAGTCCTTGCCTTGAACGCACTGGGATCCCATATGGGTGATCCCGGTTGCTCCACTTCCCATCCAGCTCCCTGCTTGCGGCCTGGGAAAGCAGTCAAGGATGGCCCAAAGCCTCTGGACTCTGCACTCACATGGGAGACCCAGAAGAAGCCCCTGGTTCCTGGCTTCAGATTGGCTCACCTCCAGCCATTGCGGCCACTTGCAGAGTGAACCAGTGGATAGAAGATCCCTTTCTCTGTCTTTTCCCTCTGTAAATCTTGCTTTCCAAAAAAAATAAATATATTTTTAAAAAAATTGGCATGACTGAGCTTTGTGCAATGGCTCAGTGGCTAAATCCTAACCTTGCATCTGCCAGTATCCCATATGGACACTGGCTCATGTCCCAGATGCTCCACTTCCCATCCAGCTCCCTGCTTGTGGCCTGGGAAAGCAGTCAAGGACGGCCCATAGCCTTGGGTCCCTGGACCCTTGGGACCCTGCGCCCACGTGGAAGACCCAGAAGAAGTTCCTGGCTCTTGGGTTCAGATCAGCTCAGTTCCAGATGTTTCAGCCACTTATGGAAATAAATCAGCAGATGGAAGATCTTTCTGTCTCTGTCCTCTGTAAATCTGCCTTTCCAATAAAAGTAAGTCTTAGAAAAAAATTCACATGACCTCTTGGCACAGGACCGCAAGTGCCTCCTTCTCGGGGAGAGTTGTCCCAGTGTTTCCCAAATTTCAGTCACTCCAGCAGCACCTTCACAACTACGGTCAAGTGATTTATGGATTGAACAGTATTTGTGGGGTATTTTTCTTTCATTTGACTTGTGTCATGTTTCTATTTTATTTTCAAATGATTGGCTGTTTATTTTAATGCAGAGAGATTTCCATCTACTAGTTCAGCGCCACCCCCTCCCCCAGATGTCTACAACAGCTGGGTTTTGGCCAAGAACACTGTCCAGGTCTCCCACCTGGGTAGCAACAATCCTGAAGCTTGACTTGTTCTCTGCAGTCTCCCAGCATGTGCATTAGCAGGGAGGTGCATCAGAAGCAGAGTAGCCAGGCCTTGATCTTAGGCACCACTGCTGTGAAGTGCAGACATCCAAAGCATCGACTTAACCCACTGTGCCAAAAGGCCCACCCCTGATGTTCCTACCTTAGTGTCAGTCAGATTATGAGATTGTGAAATGGGTACTACATTTTTAACACAAATTCAGAAAATTTATCTTTTTGAAGATGCTGGCCTGAGAACTGTCTTGGCTAAGCTTATAATATCACTATGATTCCAAATTCCACACTTTGCAGAAAGTTGATTCTATCTGATGGAAATGGGAAGACAGAAGGCAGTTAAAAGTCCCACAGTGGCCCCATGTGCGGCGGTGTGTCGGTGCCTTGGAGGGCGGCTTCGGCTCGGACCTGGGGGGTGCAGGCGGCAGGAAGCTGGACCTGGGCCTCATCATGGAGCAGGTGAAGGTGCTGATCACCGTGGCCAACACACAGGAGCTGCTGCAGAGGATAACGGACAAGTGTTTCCACAAGTGCATCGGGAAGCCGGGGGCTGCTGGACAACTTGGAGCAGAAGTGCCTCGCCATGTGCCTAGACCACTACACGGAGCCCTGGAACACCATGTCACGCGCCTACAACTCGAGGCTACAGCGGGAGCGCACCAACATGTGACCCTGGGGAGCTGGGGGGCCTCCCAGCCTGCCTGGAGCGATGGAAGGGGCCAATAAAGGACCAGAGGAGGAAAAAAAAGTCCTACGGTATCCTGGTGGTGCTGGTCTTTGGGGAGCCCAGGAAGAGCTGTCTGAAGATACTGCAGGAAGAAGGTAACACAGGAGACTCAATCAGGTGGAGATGGATCAGCCACATCCAAAGCCGAGACTCTCAGACTCCTGTGCTCCCACGGAAGCCCTCAAGAGTGGAGATTTTCACTGGACACAGCCTCTGCTTTCTCTGCTGCTCCTGTCTTTGCCTGTGTGTGCAGCCACAAGCTGCAGCAGAGGTGTCATACAAGGAGACTTCAAAAAGATCTTGGAAAAACTTTGAGTTAAAAAATAAACTATTTTGGTGCAAGAATTTTGAAGTCCTTGCAGGTTTTTAGCATGCATTTCCCATGAAAATTAGATGTATTATTGTAGGCTCTATCTCTCCGTGTACTTCCCAGCTGAATCATGTTGCTCCCCAACTTCACATGTCCACATCCTAACCCCCTGTATCTGTATTTGGAAGAAAGGTTTATAAAGGGGTAAGTGAGTTAAAATGAACTACTGGAGTGAGCTCTAGCCCAATCTTATGGGTGTCCTTCTAAGATATGGAGACTTGTGGCCTGCATTTGTGGTGAATCATGTAAAACTACAGCCTGCAATGCTGGCATCCCATATTGGAGTACCTGTTAGACTCCAGCTGCTCCACCTGCTCCACTTCCAATCCACCTGGGAAAGCAGTGGAAGATGGTGCGAGTATTTGAGTCCCTACTACCTATATGGGAGACCAGATACAGTGCCAGGTTGCTGGCTCCAGCCTGGCAAAACCCTAGCCATTTGCAGCCATTTGGGAAGTGAACAACAAATGGAAAATTCTCTGCCTCTTCTTCACTCCGTTTTACTCTACCTTTCAGATAGATAAGTACATATTTAGAGAGAGAGATTTGTTTATGGCGATGCTGTGGCACGCATGCCCATATGAGGAGGCAACACAGAAAAGCCAAAAAGAGAAGCCTCCAGCAAAACAATCCTGTGGGCAACTGGACCTTGGACTTGTAGCACTGTTGCTGCTTAATCCACTTGTTCTGTGGTATTCTGTGACAGCAGCCCAGGAAAAATCACCCAGAGGAATCCGGCTCACAACCCAGAAGGAGCAGCCCCACAAAGCATCAGCTTGGAAAGCTCTGCAGCTCTCACACGCCGAAAGCCTGTGCTTTGTGCAGACTGTGGGTGCCCCCTCCTGGTCACTTATGGGACTGCAGGGAGAGGAGTAAACCTTTCTCACCTTTTACTTGAAATCAAAGGAGTCATGACAAATGCACTAACTCCTAGAGTGAATGAATGATAACAATGGGTGCCTTCCTCCGCAAGCTGTGCCACAAGTGACCACAGTGCAGGCATCTATTCCCGTGGGAGGATGCAGTGGGGCACTGGAATCGCCATGGAGGCCGAGTGAACACGTAGGAAAGGGACAAAAGCTAGTTTCAGTAATTGCAAAGTGTTTAAGGCTTTTCATGGATAACAGGTTCAGAGCCACACAAAGGTATGCAGCTGCCTCTGCAACACATGCACTGTTCTCCACAACCTAGCCGATCTGTCTTTCTGAGAAAACAGTAGGGCTGTTTATGTTCTTAAGCCTGCATACAACATGACACTGCTTTGCACACCTCAGGGCCTAAGGAACTACAAGCTTAGTCCACACTTCAGGAGTGCGAGGTATTCCCACCCCCAGAACCAGAACTTGGGCAGCTAAGTAGCATTTCCATGAGTTGATTTGTGCAAAGCTATCTGCATGGACCAGAGTGGTGGCACGCCAGCTAATCCTCTGCCTGTGGAGCTGGCAGCACCCAATGGGTGCCGGTTCATGTCCTAACTGTTCCACTTCCAGTTCACCTCCCTGCTAGCAGCGTTGGAAAGCAGTGGAGGATGACCCAAACACTTGGTGCCTGCACACACATGGGAGACCTGGAGGAAGTTCCTGGGTCTGAACTTCAGACTGGCCCAGCTCTGGCTACGGTGGCCATTTGGGGAGTGAAATCAGTAGATAAAAGATACCTCTGTCTGTCTCTCTATAATTCTGACTCTCCAGTAAAATAAATAAATCTTTTCTTAAAAAAAATTATAATTTTAAACAACTCCCTGCAGGGGGCAGCCTGGGCATGAGGCTATGACTGTAGCACCCATGAGTATTTCTGTAAGCATCTGACACCTCTTCACAGTAAACCCACGCTGACTGCACAACAACCAACACTTTTTAATCCTCTGGGTGCCACATGTATCCTCCTTTTATAACAGAGGGAACGCACCTTTCTTGGGTCATTAGCACAAGATCCCACAGCCGTGTGTGTGGCAGAGCCTGACCTTAATGCCCGTGCACTTGACCACCACACAACTAGCTCCCTAAATGCAGTGCTGGTTGGCATTTGGAGGAGACTCACTGGGTGGCAGGCCTGGCTCCAAGCACTGTACACACAGCCCCATTTAGGACAGAGAAGCGTTTAGAAGTCTCAGTTTTGGGTTGGGCAATCTGAGGTTTAGACAGGTTGAAAAGGCTGCCTTTTGCTGTGCAGATCAGAATGAGATGTCAAGTTCAGGTCTCTTTAGTCCAAAAGCCGTGCTCTTCATCAACAGGTCCCGCGAACTGAATACAGCAACCCTTGAGAGGAGCACAAGCCTTGCAGGCTTTGCATGACTTGAGGTGAGACTGGCTAACAGCTTGGGTTCCTCTAGCTCTGTGGTCTTTCTAGCTCTAGATTCACTTTGGACCTCTGCCACCTTCTGTCAGCTGCAGCTTAGGGATACAGCTGGCATCATGCAGTCCAGCCTTTCAGAAAAGGCCTGGTCCCCTCGGCTGAGGCAGCCAGCTAGGACTCTCCAGGAGTTCAGGCAACTACTACTCTTAAGTAGGTAGGTAGGTAGGTAGGTTTTAAAGTGTGTGTGAGAGAGAGAGACAGAGAAACAGAGTACAAGGGGAGAGAAGAATTTGTATCTCCCCTGTCTGCTGGTTCACTCTCCAGATGCCCATCCAGCCAGTTAGACCAGGTTAAAGCCAGCAGCCAGAAACTCTACCCTGGTCTCCTACATGGGTGGCAGGAACTCAGGCACTTGCAAGCACTTGAGCCATCATCCACTGCTGCCCAGGCACTTTCGTAGGAAGATGTATCAGAAGTGAAATTTCCAGGGCCCACACCAGCACTCTGATACGGCACACAGCCACCCCAAATGCCGACCTAGAATCCACTGAGCCACTACGCCTGCCCCTCCAGAAATCTTAATGCGTCCATAATTTGCCTCAAATTTCCACACGGGTTGGCAGTAGGGGAATGTGGACAAGCTTAGGCCCACAGAGGTGGTTTGGTTGGCTCTTCAATGTTCTAAAACACTAGGAATTAGTGAACACTATTTTTAAATTAAAAGAGACTTCAAACTAAAATCTGGATTTCTGGGTTCTTCAGAAAAATGTGAAGATGAGACCCTTGCAGGACTAAGTTGGTGAGAGTGTGGGGCCCTGCCTTGGCACGGCCCTGCCCTGCCTGGCCCTAGGGGTGCTCAGGCACGTAAGCCTCACCTAAGAGGTGTAGATACTCTTTTCCTGGGGAAGGATCCTGGCTTAGTCCAGTTTGTGTTGTGCTAACATGATATTTAGGCCTGAGAAATTTCTAAAGCAGACATTCATTCAGCTCACAGCTCCGGAAGCTGCAAGTCCAGAATGGGCTGCCATACCTGAAGACCCCACGATGTAACAACACATGGCAGAAAGCAGAAGGGCAGGTGCACAAGCACAGACATGCCATGCTGGCAAGAGAAGAAGCTGGAGGAAGTGAGGGGGTCACATTTCCAGGAACTAACACAAAGGAATTAAATCCCTTTTAATGAGACCTAATCACCTCTTAAAGACCCAACCAGATCTCAACACTGCCTGAGACCAAAGTTTAACATGACTTTTAGGACAGGATAAACCCCAGCCAAATCCTGGCCAACCTGAAAGCTTCGTGCAGTTTTGGGAATAAAAAGCTCCTTTCTCTGCAGCAGAGGCATCCCTAGAATCCATAGCTGTGTGCAGATGGGAGCCCTGGTTATCCTGGAATAGAGACCAGCCTGGGAAGGAGCCTGCATTCACCCAGGAAAATGGTTTCTCCCAGCAGCAGCCTCTCAAATCTGTATTTGCGCTCTCTGGAGTCCGGGTAGACCAGCAGGCTTGTCATTCCCCTACTTGGAGCTATAATGGCAACACTGTGCTGAGTGGAACAAGAGAGGTTTTCATTTGGCGGCGGGCATCAAGTGGACATGCAAGTGAGGGGCTGTGGGGCTCGCCTGACACAAAGGAGCATGGGAGAAGGGCCTGAGCCAAAGAGAAGCTGTGTGTCCACCACAGCACAAAGGCGTTTCTTCACTGGCAGACTCACTTCCATCTGCAAACAGACAGCAACAAAGGCTACTCCAGAGGACAAAAGTGACCTCCAGCACAGGGGTGCTAATGGAAGCCAATGACGGCAGCTCCTTGAGTGTTTACTCACTGACTCACTCCACAAATATTTACTACTACTTGCTAGGGGCTGGAAGCATGCTGGGGCTCTGGGGATATTACGGAGTAAGCAAAACACAGAGCCCATGGTCACAGCATTTGCAGTGAGAACTAAGGGAGGAGGAGGAGAAGTGAATGAGAAGTTGTTACACAACCAAGTTGATTCCTGAACCCAGTCTGGGGTCCCCATCCGCTGCTTTCTGCAGCCTTCCTGGAGTCTCCCAGGTTTCAGGAAGAGACCAGCTCAAATACTGTTAGGAAAGAATTTGTGAGCCAAGTGGAGACATCAAATATTTCTAAGGGGGTACATGGTAAGCAGGAGTGGCCATGGTGCAAGCAGACCTGGATGCAAGGTGACAAGGTAAGAGGCTCAAGTGTGCGCCTCTTGCTGGGACAAACAGCCCTCAGCTTCCAGCGTTCTCTCTCTCAGGGTTTCCCAGTTCCAC